AGTCACTATCCATCAGCATAGTAAGATGCTATAGAGTCACTACTCGTCTTCTCTGTGCTATACTGCCTTCCCCGTGACCCCCCATATGTTATGTGTGCTAATTTTAGTGCCCCTTATTCCCCTTCTCCCTCCCTTCCCATCCACCCTCCCTAGTCCCTTTCCTTCTGGCAACTGTTAGTCCATTCTTGAGTTCTATGAGTCTACTGCTGTTTTTTCCTTCAGTTTTGCTTTGTTCTTATGCTCCACAGATGAGTGAAATCATTTGGTACTTGTCTTTTCCCACCTGGCTTTTTTCACTGAGCATAATACCATCTAGCTCCATCCATGTTGTTGCAAATGGGAGGATTTGTTTTCTTCTTATGGCTGAATAATATTCCATTGTATATATGTACCACCTCTTCTTTATCCATTCATCTACTGATGGACACTTAGGTTGCTTCCATTTCTTGGCTATTGTAAAGAGTGCTGCGATAAATATAGGGGTGCATATGTCTTTTTGAAACTGGGATCCTGCATTCTTAGGGTAAACTCCAAGGAGTGGAATTCCTGGGTCAAATGGTATTTCTGTTTTTAGTTTTTTGAGGACATACTGTTTTCCACAATGGTTCAACTAGTTTACATTCCCACCAGATGTGTAGGAGGGTACCCCTTTCAAGAGGAGGGAGATTTTTAAGAGAAAGGATAGAGTACCTGGGATAAGTGAGAATTGGAAGTTGCCCAAGGAAACTAAAGATGGCAAATTTGTAAAGATAGACTTGCCCCTTCCCTAAACTCTGAGAAATTGACACACCTGTTAAGTTTTGTTGCCGAAATGAATGGAATGAAGGAGGGATCACATGAAAAAAATTACATAAGTGCAAATCTAATGCACATTATACCTAAAAATTTATCATACAGAAACTCAAAAAGAATCACTATGACCTCAGGGTGTGGGCAGGGGACAATGTGATTCTATTTACAATAATAGTCAAATAGATCAGTGGAACTATTTAGAGTAAAATTAGCCTCAGGCTTATGCAGTTTATTGATTTTGACAAGGTGCTATGGTAATTCAGAGGGTAAAGGAAGGTCTTTTCTACCAATAGTGCTGAAACAACTAGATACCAGTGCAAAAAAATGAACCTTGATCCCTACCTCATTCCATGAACAAATATTAATTTCAGATGAATTATAGTCCTAAAGTTAAAAACTAACCCTGTATTCCAAAGGGGAGGGTTGGGGAGGAGGGAGAAGGGGTTTTAGGGGTGTTATGATTGGCACACATGGTGTGAGGGGGATCATGGGGAAGGCAGTGTAGCACAGAGAAGACAAATAGGGACTTTGTGGCATCTTACTACACTGATGGACAGTGACTGCAATGGGGTATGGGGGGGAACTTGATTATACGGGTGAATGTATTAAACACATTGTTTTTCATGTGAAACCTTCATAAGAGTGTATATCAATAGTACCTTAATAAAAAAAGAGGAAAAAAAAGAATTAAAATTAAAAAAATAAAACCAACCCTGTATTCTACACAGCAAAGGAAACAATCACCAAAATGAAAAAATATTCTATGGAATGGGAGAAAATATTTGCAAGCCATATATCTAAAAGTGGTTAATATCCAAAATATAAGGAACCCAGTTAAAAAATGGACAAAGGACCATTATAGACACATCTCAAAAGAAGATATACAAATGGCCAACAGATACATATAAGGGTGCTCAGCATCAGTGATTGTAACAGGGTTAAAGAAAGCTTGGCATCTCTGCCTTTATAGTGAATCTGAAAAGATATCTGCACTCCCATGTTCACTGCAGTATTAATCACAGTAGCCAAGATATGGAAATAGCCTATATGTCTGTTGCCAGATGAATGGATGAAGAAAATTGGGTTATATATATAATATATAAAATGAAATATTATACTGCCTTTAAAAGGAGGAAATCCTGCCATTTGTGACAATGTGGATGAACTCAGAGGACAAGATGCTGAGTGAAATAAGCCAGACACAGAAAGACAAATACTGCCTGATCTCATTTATATGAGGAATCTCAAATAGCCCAACTCAAAGAAGTAGGGTAGAATGGTAGTTGCCAGTGGCTGGGTGAAGGCGGAAATGGGCAGATCTTAGTCAAAGGGTACAAAGCTTCAGTTAAAAGGATTAATAAGCTCTGGGGATGTCATGTACAGCAACGTGATTATACTTAACAATACTGTATTGTACACATTAAATTTGCTAATTAAGTAGATCTTAAAGGCCTTCACCACAGAAAAAGAAAGAAAAAATGATGATTCTGTGAGGTGATTGTGATTATCTCAAAATGTGATCATGCATCAAAAACAAGTTGTACACCTTAAATATATATAATTTTTATTTGCCAGTTATACCTCAATAAAGCTGGTGGCCAGTGGGGGTGGAAGGAGGGGGAACAACACTATAAAACTTCTAAAAGGAAGCATAAGAGAATATCTCTGCAACCTTGTAGCATTCTATGTTTCTTGAACAGGACCAAAAAGTCACTGACCATAGAAGAAAATAGTAAATTGAACATCAAAATTATACACAACTTTTCAGTACAAAAAAATTATTCTAGATCTTCTCTAACCATCTTAACTTCAAATAAAGCTCATAATAGATTTTTGTTTGCTTGCTTGCTTTTTTTTTTTTTTTGGTTCCTGCAGAAGAAATGGAGGAAAAGGAGGAAATTTTGGAAGATGATTCAAAGAAGAGAGGAGAAAGGGTTTTAATTAAAAGAATTTATGCCCTTAATAAAGATCAGAGCAGAAATAAATAAAATGGAGAAGAATAAAACAATAGAAAGAATCATTGAAACCAGGAGCTGGTTCTTTGAGAAAATAAGCAAAAGAGTTAAACCCCTAGCCAGACTTATCAAGAAAAAAAGAAGTGTACACACATAAACAGAATCAGAGATGAGAAAGGATCACTACAGATACCACAGAAATACAAAGAATTATTAGAGAATACTATGAAAATTATATGCTAATAAATTGGATAACCTAGAAGAAATGGACAACTGTCTAGAAAAATACAATCTTCCAAGACTAATTCAAGAAGAAACAGAAAATTTGAACAGACCAATTACTAGCAATGAAATTGAATTGGTATCAAAAACTACCAAGAACAAACAAAAGTCCTGGACCTGATGGCTTCACCGCTGAATTTTGTCAAATATTTAGGATACCTAATACCCATCCTTCTTAAAGTTTTCCAAAAAGTAGAAGAGGAGGGAATACTTCTAAACTCATTCTATGAGGCCAGCATCACTCTAATACCAAAACCAGACAAAGACACCACAAAAAAGGAAAATTACAGACTAATACCCTTGATGAACATAGATGCAAAAATACTCAACAAAATATTAGCAAACCAAACTCAAAAATACATCAAAAAGATCATCCATCATGATCGTGAGATTTATTCCAGGGATGCAAGGCTGGTACAATATTTGAAAATCCATCAACATCATCCACCACATCAACAAAAAGAAGGACGAAAATGATCCTTTCAATATGATCATCTCAATAGATGCTGAAAAAGCATTTGACAAAATTCAACATCCATTCATGATAAAAACTCTCAAAAAAATGGGTATAAGGGCAAATACCTCAACATAATAAAGGCCATATACAACAAACCAACAGCCAACATCCTACTTAACAGCAAAAAGCTGAAAGCTTTTCCTGTAAGAGTGAGAACATGACAAGGATGCTGACTCTCATCTTTTATATTCAACATAGTTCTGGAGGTCCTAGTCACAGCAATCAGACAACACAAAGAAATAAAAGGTATCCAGATTGGTAAGGAAGAAGTTAAACTGTCGCTGTTTGCAGATGATATGATATTGTACATAAAAAACCCTAAAGAATCCATCCCAAAACTACAAGGACTAATAACTGAATTCAGCAAAGTTGCAGGATACAAAATTAATACACAGAAATCTGTTGCATTCCCATATACTAATGATGAACTAACAGAAAGAGAATTCAGGAAAACAATTCCATTTACAATTGCATCAAAAAGAATAAAATACCTAACAATAAACCTAATCAAGGAGGTGAAAGACCTATAGCCTGAAAACTGCAAGACACTCATGAGAGAAATTAAAGAAGACACCAATAAATAGAAACACATCCTGTGCTCATGGATAGGAAGAATTAATATTGTCTAAACGGCCATCCTGCCTAAAGCAATCTATAGATTCAATGCAATCCCTATCAAAATACCAACAGCATTCTTCAATGAATTAGAACAAATAATTCTAAAATTCATATGGAACCACAAAAGACCCTGAATACCAAAGCAATCCTGAGAAAGAAGAACAAATCTGGAGGGATTACCTCCCTCCCTTCAAACTCACAGTAATCAAAACAATTTGGTACTGGCACAACAACAGACCCATAGATCAATGGGACAGAATAGAGAGCCCAAATAAAGACCCATACATACATGGCTAATTAATGTACAATAAATGAGCCATGGATATACAATGAAGAAATGACAGCCTCTTCAACAAATGGTGTTGGCAAAACTGGACAGCTACATGTAAGAGAATGAAACTGGATTATTGTTTAACCTCATACACAAAAGTAAACTCAAAATGGATAAAAGACCTGGACATAATTCATAATCCATAAAACTCATAAAAGAAAACATGGGCAAAAATATCTTGAATATAAACATGAGCAACTTCTTCCTGAACACATCTCCTCAGCAAGGGAAACAAAAGCAAAAGTGAACAAGTAGGACTACATCAAATCCCACCGTTTGCAACAACGTGGATGGTTCTAGAGGGTATTATGGTCAGTGAAATAAGCCAGGCAGAGAAAGACAAGTACCAAGTGATTTCACTCATTTGTGGAATATAACAACACAGTAAAACTGAAGGAACAAAACAGCAGCAGACTCACAGACTCCAAGAAGGGACTAGTGGTTACCAAAGGGAAGAGGGTGGGGAGGAAGGGAGAAGGGGATTAAGGAGCTTTATAATTCTCAATCACAATATAGGTAGGTCATGGGGAAGGCGGTACAACATGGAGAAGATGACAAACTGACATTAATTTCCAAACTTCTGGGTTTAAAAGACTAGAAAGCTGGCTTTCAGACTTGATCTCCAGAAACAAGATGTTTATGTGAGGCTGAAGCCCCCATTCAGGATGAACAATGGTTGTCAAGCAGGGTTCCCTGGGAGTGGTGACAAGATTCTACTACCTCAGAGGAACCACTCAGGGGCCCCATCCTGAAATATCTTGATTTCAAAGAAATCCCTGCTCTTTGATAAATCCTCAAGCCACATTTTCTATTAGACAAAAAGACTCCAATGGATATAGCACTCCAAGCATGGTAAAGACTTTCATGTGATTAGAAATTTTGTCTCTTAAGGTGATGACTTCCACCTGATGGGGAGACATACTAAAAGAGTTTCCCAAAACCTCACAATCTGCCTAACATAATCCTGGGACACAATACTAAGTGGGGAGCAAAGAGGCAAAACCCAGTTAATTGATCAATAACACCTATATGGAGATTTTGACTTGAGTTTGAAGTTTAGAGAAGGGTTTGATTAGTATTCAACTCGATTCCTCCTCTTGGCAGCACATCCTCTCTGGTCTCTATTCCAAGAATGGATAAATGAAAGAAACGACTCCGGTTTCACCTGGAAGCCCAGACAGGAGGTGAAGAAGGTAGAGGCTGAACAGAGCCAAACTCCCTGTCCCTCGCCTCTCCTTAGATAGCTGTGAGCAGGGAGGAAGGCTGAAGGAGGTGGAGGGAAAAAATGAAGGAAATAGTTTTTGCAGCGCTGTCCTGGAAGAGAGATGCGGAAGGAGAGTGGGAGGTTCCTAGTCAAGAGAAGGACACCCCTATGCTTCTCTGAGCAGCAGGCGTCAGGATCCATGTCCTGCTCGTATTTCTCTGCAGAGCTGCTCCGGGCACCAACACCATGCGTCCCTGCCCATGGAAATACATCACAGTTGCTGTGTCTTCAGTCATCCTGAGCTTCCTCCTCCAAGAGGATGATGAAGAACATCTTGAGTACAGTTCATCATTAGTAAGTCCCAGAGACTGAGGTTGGACTCTTTGCCTATCCTAGCAGAGGGTGAATATTTTTCTACTTATGCAATCTAGTATCACCTTAGGAGCTCTAAGAAGGCACTTGAAAAATCACGAAAGGGTCAGAAAAAAGATAAATATTGAAGCAGCCTTGAAATATGTATAAGGTTTTAATAAAGGCCAGGGCATTTTAGGTATGGAAAGAGCAAAACACACTTCTAAAGGCCTTCTGACTGTCAGGACCAGCTTGCCATGAGGACTGCCTGGGGGCTGGCCACTTCCCTCATCAAAGTCCACCATAGGAGGAGATGTTGTTCGGCCCATTTCTCACACAAAGGGATTGAGACCCAGACCCGTGAAATAACTTCCCCCAAGCGTACAACAGCTGCAAGTGGAGAAGACCACATCCAACATAGGTCATGCTTACGTAAGTCCAAGTTTTTCATAAATGCCTCAGACCAGCTGGAGTAAAGCATGAGGTGGTTTTAGGGAAGTTGCTCAGAAATGTTCACGTGGTCAGAATTGAGCAAAAGAAAGGACTTTAGAATTGAGGCACTATGTATAACCCCCTTAAGGACAAGACCAGGCATTGATTGTCAGCACCTGTCACAGAACCTAACCCCATCTAAGCTGAGTTTGATGGCTTTTGCCAGCCTGAAAATGGCAGGAGAAATTGGATGTGGGGCATGGTGGGAGTAGGCAAGTTCTCCCTTTGCATAAGCCTAGGACCTTCCTCCAGGCATTCCTCAGAAACTGGGGGCCCACATCCCTGACTCCAGGCCCCACCACCCCTTCTACACAGCCCTGTGTGTTCTCATGATGAGGTGGGCATAGTTAACTGAGCCCTAACATTCAGTGTCTTGCCTGAGGGTTTCAGCCCAGGAAAAGTTCACTATGGATTCAGTGAGACCAAGAAATGACAACCGAACATTCTTGGGGTAAAAGGGTTTATACCCAGCTTTATTCCCACAGGTAGGTCGAGCACTGGCATCAGGTCTGCATCTAGCAGGCTGCAGGTCCACAGTCCACCTTCATCTCTGGCTTTACCCAGAATACTGCGTAGAGGTCTTTATATAGTGACTCATTGCCTGTGGGTGTGGCAGCAGTAGCCTAGCAGTAGCCCAGTTACATCATCAAGTATTTTAGGGTCGGGTGAGGATCCCGGCCATAGGAACTTGGATTTTGCCCATACCTGGGCTCCCTGGTGACTGGATCCTGGGGTTTTTCTAGCCAGGCCTAAAAGGGAGATCTCTCTCTTACCTGTCTCCAGGGACCTAGGGATGAACCCCAGGACTGACACTTATCCTATCCTCAGGAGGAGGAAAAGAAGAAAATGCTGTGGCAGGTGGACCAGGAGAAAATCAACTCTGAAATCAAGAACCATCTGGAGACCTTCAAGGAGATGCAGAAAAACTCTCTACTCCAACAGGCCGAATACACCTTCCTGGCTGGAGCCCTTACCCAGGAGAAGAGCGAGTGCATGGCAGGGAGTGGCCAGACTGGGAGAAGGGCAGACAAGGGGTCCCAACGAGGAAAAGGAGGGTGGGTAAAACAGGAAATGAGCTGGCGACGAAAGGAGGGTACTCTGGGGGAGGGCCACACGCTGGAACCCGGGGCAGCTTGGAATCCCGAGTGCATTTTCTTGCCACCTGCTGCCCCCCTGAATGACTAACAAGTTGAGAAGTCCATCTCCACGTGTCAAGGAGCCATCTCGTGAAGCCCATCCACGGCAGGCCGGCCTCCCAGGGAGGGCGGACAGCACGGGGAGGACCTGAGGGAGCTGCGGGAGGGAGCGCCGAGGGCAGGGGGGAGGGCGGCGGATGCTGACTAGCTGTCCAGCGACCGCCGAGCCCTTGGGTTTGCACGGCGCCCTGGAGATCCTCTAATCCAGGTCTGGTTGGTCTTTGGTCGCTGAGGTGACAGAGGCCAAGGCCAGACTGGTTTCCCAAGCCGGTGCATTTCCCTTGGGCACGTGGTAGCCCTCCCGTCAGAGAGAGCTTGTCCTTCGTGGCCATTCCCCCAACAGCCTTCCCGAGTGGTGATCAGACAAAACCATGTCACAGCTTCTGACAGAGACCAACCCCTCCGGCACCAGTCCCTCCCAGGGAAAGGAAATGTGCGTTTGTCGCGGCCATCGGCGCTCAGGGGAAGCCCTGGGAGGACAGGCCGAGGAATCCTTCACCACCCTCAGGTGCTGGCGGTCCCCTTGTCCCGCTCCACCCCAGACCTGCTGACGGCGGGGGTCGCCCAGGGCGGCGTCCTCCCGGGAGCCCCCTCTCGGACACCCTGCAGTCCCTGTTCCGAGCGTCGTCAGAGCAGGAGTTGAAGTCCGTCGTGGTGCTGGTCCACCTGGCAGGTCCTGACCCTGAATGGCTCCGCCAGACGGTTGCCAATATCTCAGTCCTCTTCAAACCACATACTGAGGCCCAGAGGCTGCTCGCGGTCCGGGGCCGTCTCGGGGGCCCTCCTCTCCCGGGAGATCTGTGGCACCAACCACTCCTCATCCTGTGAAGCACTTCATTCAGGCAGAAGGCTGGTTACGGCTCCTCATGAACTTCACTGTCCACCTCTCCGCATGCCTTCTGATGCTGGAAGATCATGTCCACTGTGCCCCAAATGTATTCCTGCCACCTACGGGGCATGACCAGCCTGGAAGGAGCTGCCTCGGATGACCCTGGGGTTCTCCAGCCTGAGCTTCTCCAGGAAAGTCTCCCACACCACTGACCTCTCCCGCCCGGCTGCTTTGTTCCTCCTCTTCCGTAAGGACATTCCAACTCCCTTGCTTCTCTCCGAATCCCGTCTTCTCTTAGCCCGGAATATTCCGATTCGGGTCACCTCCTCAGTCTTCTACCATGTGAACGATTATTCTGTGCTTGAAGACACCTGCTCCCCCGTGGAGGCGGGGAACCCGACGACGCCACTGCCAGTGTCCTCACTGACATGAGGACAGTATCAGGTATTATCCCACGGAACGCTGATGCCCTCAACGAGGAGCGCTGCTCTACCCTCGATCCTCTAAGAGGCAACCGCCTGACGGTGACTTTGGAGAGGCCACAGAAAGTCATCCGGGTGGAGGTGCTGACAGGCCCGGAGAAGCAAGGGCTGAACCGGCCGCGGCAGGGGCAGGTAGAGCTGGGCTGTGCTCCCGTAGAGAATTCCAAAGGCTGTGCTCGCTGTAGCCTGCTAGGTCCACTGGTGGACGGAAATTTGGACCAGAGGGTTTTTTGTGAAGAAGGTTCCATGGAGGAGTTGAGTTGTATACGACTGCTGGTGCTGGCATCTCAAGGGTGTTGGGTCCTGATCAGGCAGATCAAAGTCTGGACTCAGGAGGAGTTAGGCTAGAGGAGAGTTAGAGGGCACAATGGGAGGTCTGGAAGGACGGGCTTTGGGAATGGTATCGATGTGATTGACAAGAAGTAAAGCTAGAAATCGACCAAGGCCTGCTCATTCTGCATAGGGTGACCATGTAGTTTATTGTCTAAACTGGGACATTTTTGAGAATGAAAGGAAACACTATTAAAAATTACATTTGAACAGCAGATGTAAACCAGGACTGACCCAGGCAAGCTAAGGTGTATGGTCATCCTAATTCTGGCTTTTATAGGCTACTTAAGATAGATGATACATTTGGATGAAGGGCAGAGACAAGACAATATCCTTCTGGCTTCCAAGAGCCAGAGAATGGGAAAGAGTCATCACAAACTGCCTTGGTTTTTATCAACCCACAAGTGTAACATCCTACGATGTTTCCCTGAAGGAGTCTCTACCCTATTTACATTTGCAACAGTCTTGATAGTACCATGAGCATGGAGGTGGAACTGACTTTAGCTTGCATCTATACATCTGTCTTAGTCTATTTGGGCTGCAATAGCAGAATACCATAGATTGGGTGGCTTATAAACAACAGAAACTTCTGTCTCACAGTTTTGGAGGCTGGGAAACCCAGGATCAAGGTGCTGGCAGATCCCGTGTCAGGTGAGAGCCCACTTCCTGGCTCGGAGATGGCTGGCCATCTTTTTCCATGTCCTCATATGATGAAGGGTTATGGTAAGGGAGCTCTGAGGCTTCTGTCATAAGTGCAATTCATCACCTTCCAGGGAAATATTTTACCTGGGAAAAAAATGTTTGCTGTCGCCAGTACATGAACATTTATTCTCCCATTTCATTAGAAAGACAATAACATCAAGGGACACCAGATACACAACTAAAAGGGAACAAAATTCCCATATCCCTCATAATTTGGATTGACCAATAAAGTAAGCAAAGATTTTGGGCAGGATTTCCATTTAAAAATTCCAGTGGGGATTCAGTCAGCTGCTAGAAACCTTGTTGGCATTGGCCTGAGGACTCTTCCTTAGCTTATTACTTTGTTATTGCCTTTAGTCAGATGCTATTTATATTTTGTTTGGCTTTTATTGTTGTCCTCAATAAGAAGATTCAAATTACCTAGATTGCTATTTCAAAGAACTTTTATGTACAACTTGAAAAGGTGTTCAAGATACACCATTAAGTGAAAAAAATAAAAACCTCTGGCTTCCATACAATATAAAGAAAACTATTAATTCAGGGGAAAAAAATCCATGCATTTCCATTCAGTTTAATTGCAGGAAGAAACTACAGAAGATTCTGTTATTGGCAGTTTGACCTATGAAAACTCTCCTGATTAAAACAACTGAATACACTATAAGTACATACTGTTTAAAAACTGTTTTTGAGTGTATCGATGAAATAAAAAGAATGTAAGAAATTCTCACAGACCAAAAAATTAAACAAAAGTAGGGATCCAGATAGGTAAATAAGGACTTAAGCTGGCTTTTGCCCTGAGAAAATTAACCAAATGACTAGGACACTGAGCTCCATAATCAGCAGCGGGACAGGATGCATAGAACTATAGAAAAGGTCAGGGATTACCTAAAATTTCAAGTATAGTGGGAGACTACCATGTAAAGCTGCAGCACCATAGGGCTGCACATTCATCACAGAGAGCTGGAAAGAAACACATGCCACAAAGGTATAAAAAAAGACAGAAATGGATTTACCTATCTCATCTTGGCACTGCTGCAGGGGAAAAATAATCTCCAATATTCCTAAACAGAAGCTTCCCTTTATGTGGATATGCAGCCACCCAAACTAACATCACCAGATGCTCCCCAAAACCTCCAGCCAAGATTATACTTTAAATAGGTCACAACTCAAGTTGGTAGTGCCCTCGAAGATGCCTGGAAAAGGCATATGTTAATCTTTTAGATGATGTTAGAATGCAGAGAATTCTCACAAAGTCCTAAAAAATGTAAGCACACAATAAAAAAAATCACAAAACACACAAGGAAGTAAGTCACCATAATGAGAACCAGAAGATAAAAAAAAACAGAATCAGAGTGAAAGGACATCATATATTGGAAATATCATACAGAATAAAAAATAACTTTAATGTGGTTTTTAAATTTAAAAGTTAGCTTTGAAAATGCGAATAAGGAATAAATTTCTATAAAAAGGACCAAGAATATTTGAAAATAGAAGTTCTAAACAGAAAAGCAATAATTGAAATTTAAAACCCAAGGGATAGGGGCTCTCTTGTCCCCTCCTGGCGTGAGCCCGGAGCTCTTTTCTCTCATTTTATTTATAAATAAAAGCCTCTCCCTGGAAAAAAAAAAAACCCAAGGGATAAGTTAAAAATCTGATTAGGCACAATAATATAGAAAATTCATGAGCTGAAGGATAGAATTGAAGATATTATCCATAATACAACACAAGTTAAAGAGATGAAAAAATATGAGAGAGGATTTAAGAGGTTTAGGAGACTGTGAAGGACAAACATAATTCCAATCTGGGTTCAAAAAAAAATGAGAAGTTAATTTTATTTTATATAGCAATTGGTATGTATATATGTGTGTGTGTATATCCCCCACTCCCTATCTTCTATACATAACTGTATAGAGAGGGGATGTTAATCAGAGTTAAAGAATTCTAAGGGAATTATATTAACTTTAAATAGTAAATCAAAATATTCATGTTAAATTTTTTTAGGATAACTCCAAAGGCTAGAAATAGTATTTTATGCTAAAGCTAGAGAAGGAAATATAATGAGAAAGAAAAGAAAAACTCAACCAATTCGCCCAAAAGGCAATAAGGAAGGGGGGAACATCGAAGATACTTGATGTAATAATGTAAATAAATTTGTAAATACAAATACTACCTAATAAACAAAAATGAATTAAATTCATTAGGTAAAAAAGATTGTCTTGGTTAGAAAAAAATACAGATTTTCCTATTTATAAGAGGCTCACTTGAAACCTAATAACACAGAAAAGCTGGAAGTAACAATATGAAAAAACATATATACCTGGCTAAGACAACTAAAATAAGTGATATTGCAAAAGATATACTTCAAGGTTAAAAACAAATGCATTTGCCAGAGATAAAGAAGATCATGACGTATCTCAGGGATTGTTTGATGGAAGATGCAACTTACCAAGGGGACAGAACAATGTATATAACTACAGACTTTGCCTCAAAGACACAAAGTTAGTATTGACAGAATCCCAAGGAGAAATTGATAAATCTACCATCATAAGATTTTAGCACGTATCTCAGTAACTGATAGATATAGAATTTAAAAAATTAGTAAGGTTTGAATATAATGAACAAATATGATCCAATGGACATATATAAAATGTTGCATCCTTGGTACTTTTTAAAAGGCATACATGGAACATTCATGAAAATTGAGTATGTAGTATCTCAACAAATTTCAAAGAATTGAAGTGACCTGCTGAGTTCACTGACAACAATACAATTAGGCTCTTACCTATCTGGTTTCTAAATTAATGACAAAAAGATTTAAAATCTTTGTTTTTGGAAATAAATGCACATATTTCTAAATCATTCTTAAGTTAAAGAAAAAGCATTAATGGGAATCAGAAAATATTTACAACTGAACCATAATGGGGTTACTAATATGAAAACTTAGGTCATGCAATTCATCCTGTTCTTAAAGGAAATTTATGGTTTTAAATGAAAATAAGTAAGACTAACAAACTAGAAAATAGATAAGGGTAAAAATTAACAAATAAAGCATCTGTCATAAGGATTTTGTAAGATAGTAGAGTCTAAAAATCAGTGAAAGTATAGGGAAGGAAATATTCAATATAGGAACAAATTTAATGGCACATCAAGAAACATCATAAAAGAACAAAAAGGCAAGTTGCGGAGTGGGAAAGGAGTAGGTGTGAAACAGATGATGGACAAAAGATGTCTGTCCAGAAATATAAAAAGATGTTACAAATCAGTAAGCAAAAGCCAGACAACCTAATGGCTGAAAAATTTCAACAAAGAACTTCAAAGAGGAAATGCGTCAAAAGGAGCTCATCTCATTTCTCCTCAGGGAGCTGCAAAAAAAAATTAAAATGCCTAAAAATAAAAAGGCTGACAGTACCACGTGTTGGACAAGATGTAGAGCAAGGGTTGGTAAGCCATGGCCCGTGGCCCAAACACAGCCCACCAACTGTCTTTGCAAATCACGTTGTGTCGGAGCGCAGCCACACTCACTTGTTCACGTGTGCCTCCCACTGCTTCCATGCTCCAAGCACCAGCATGGGTAGTGGTGACAGAAGCTGTATAGCTCACAAAGTCTAAATATTTACTGTCTGCCCCTTTACAGAGAATATTTGTCAGCCTGCAATGTAGAGAAATAAGAATTCTCGTCACTGCTGGTGGTATGCAAACCAACAGAAAGCAGCTGAGAAAACTGATGGAGCAATTCCACTCTGAGGTATATGCCCAACAGAAATACAAGCACATGTGCAGGAAAAGACATGCACAATAATATATATAGGAGCATTATTTGTAATAGCCACAAATTAAAAACCCAAACATCAATGGTAGAACGGGTAAACGAATTTGTTCTAGCCATACAGGGGAATACTGCTGACCAACAATGAAAATGAAAAGCTACTGCTATCACAACATGGAAAAATCTCACATGCATAAATCAAAATAAGCTGGATACAAAAGAATCCATACTACCTGATCCCATTTATATAAGTTCCTAAACAGACAACACTACTTTGTGGTGTTAGAAGTCTGGATCGTGGTTACCTCTGAGAGGTAGTGCAGGGAGTGAGAACAGAGGTGTCTGAGGGGCTGGGAACATTCTAAGGAGAATATGAGTGAGTGTTCACTTGGTGAAAAATCATTGTTATGTTTCTGGTTGCATATAAGGGGTAAAAATCTGATTGGATTGAGTTTAAGAGGACTGGAAAGGGAGAAATTGGAAGCAGAAAAGCTGAAAACAACTCCCTGGAAGAGTTTTGCTATAAAGGAAGAAAAAAAAAAGAAAGAGAAGGTAGCTGGCTGAGGAAATGGGATCAAGAGAAGTCTTCTTTCCTTTTTAAAAATGCTGATGGTATTAACACAACAGATAGTGAAAAGTTGATGATATAGAAGATAGAAAGGAGAATTACTAGAACCGTATCTTGGTGGATTTTAGATTAACAAATGGTAGCAGGTGGGGAAGGAGGTCATATGGGTACAGAAGCTGGTGGGTGGGTAGATGTGGTGGAGGTCATCTTTAGAGTTCTCTTCTGCTTGTTTCAATTCCTCAGTGAAAAAAAGAAACATTCATCAACTGAGAGAGAAGATGGAGGAAGAAGTATTGAGGTTCAGAGGACAGAGAGGGTGGAAGATATTCATGAAAATAAAGGAGAGAATGGACTAGGGAGGCACCACAGGCAACATTATGGGCTCAGTCAGGGTTCATAGTCATGAATTCAAAGTGACACTAATGAGCATGGCTGTGTGTGTCTCCCAGCCATGACCACTGAAAAGGGGTGGCTCAGAATAGGGAAAGAAAATTGACCATTGGATTGAAACCATTGGTGATGGATTTGCCAAGTTTGTACAATGAATTGAGAGGCAAAGAGAATGCAAATATATACAAGGCAGTGACTGTGGGGATGGCCCTTTGATTCAGTCTGTGTAAGCCTGGAGAATGACATCACGGTATTGCAGTGTCATGAAAGGGGGAAGCAGTTCAATGTGCGCATCAGGACACAGAGTCAGTGACATCAAAGACACGAGGGGCCCAGATTACCTGCCATGTTTGTCAGCAGCCTCACCCAAGTCCCAGGGGAAGTCTCCTTCCTGAACACAATCCAGCAGCTATGGAACTCCAGATAACACAAAAAGAAAAACAAAATAAAACCGGGCAAAGCAATCCTGAGGTTCCATAGGAGCCTTTCTCAATGTCATTGGCATTTTCAAGAGTGATCATGTCATTTGTAAATATCATTGACCTTAAGAATGAGGATTTAAAAGCAGAGTGTATGAATTCAAAACACAGCTCTGCCTCTTAGATAAGTTATTTTGACCCCCTCTGGGCTTCATGTTCTTATTTCTGCTATGGTGGGGGGGGGGGCAATGGCTTGTATTCATGGTGTTGTGGAGATTAAATGAGTCAATTTATGAAGGACACTTAAAACAGTAATGAGCATGAACCAAGAGTTTATTTTGCAACTACTGTCATTATTATGATTTTCACATAATTATTTAAAAGAAACTACCAATTCTTTTTCAAGAATACAATCTAACCACCAATCTACCAGCTGATTTGCCACTTCTCCCTCTACTAGCCATTCCAAACCCTACTCACTCCCCTGCAATACTATTTTTTCATTATTCTTTGACAAATTACAATGTTCAAAGGGGAATGAAGAATTTGGACTTGATTCATACCATGGTCCTTAGCAAAGAATGATCTAGGCACAGTGCCACTCAGTGAGAGGTAGCAGGCAAGAAAACAAAGATTACAGAAACAACTGAGAAAAGAGGAAAGAAAGGAAGAAATGAGTGACCTCAGTAGTTTCCAGGAATCTTTCTGTGTCCGTGAAAAATCTGGCCCCTCACTTCCAACCTCTACCATCCCACGAAAGACACACCGGAAGTACAGCTGACGCTGAAACACAGGCACAGTGTTCGCAGCGGACCCTGGGGACTATTTTACATAACAGAGTAACAGAGACCAGAACTAAGGCAGAAATGGAACGATGACAAAGTGTTCGGTTTTGCTTCCCTGGTTCCATTTCTCTCTCTGTCTCCCTCTATCTCTATCTCTCTCTCTCTTTCCCTCTCTCCAGGAGTGACTTTGCCCCCCAGGGGACATTTGGCAATGTCTGGAGATATTTTGGGTTGTCACAGCCGGAGGATGCTACTGACATCTAGTGCAAAGAGGCTGGGGATGTTGTAAGCAAACAGGTAGGACACCTCCCGACAATGAATTATGCTGCCCAAAACGTCAATAGTATGAAAGCGGAGATACTTAGCTCTTCGGTGAACGAGCAGCGGCATTTGTGACAGAATGACACTACTGTTAAGCAATTTTTAAAAAGCAGAAAGTGTCAAAATTACATAAGGAGAGAATGGATTTATCAAACAGCAGATGGATCCAAAAAAATTCTTTCCTCCACAAAAGGCAGAGCCACTAGATCAATACGGTAGTTGTGGTGTGCGTAAAATGTGTCTAGAAAAATGTCTATAAAGAACAGGATTTATGAGTGTGAAGTCTTAAAGAACTACTAGGATTTCTTTAACTTCTTAAAATTTCTTTATGTTTGGATTTTTGTTTTGTGTCAAATACAAGGTTTTACTTGGGATGTGTAATGTAAAGACAACCTGAATCCTGATGGGATTCTATCTATACTTTTTAAGTCTATAAACGTCTCTCTTAACCCCTCCTCTCCAATCACAATCTTGCCCTACGAAACTTCTCTTGTCAAGATTTCTAATGACCTCCTGGCTGCTTATTTTGAGATTTGTCATTCTTCCTTAATCTGTTAATGTGGAGAATTCTATATAGAAAGGTCATAGCTTTGCATTCCTGAGATAATCTCAACATGTTATGTTTGGTTGGGCTTTTAAAAATAATTGTTGGACATGATCTGCTGATATTTTATTTAAGAATTTTAATCTATGTTTACAGAGATGGGGCAATAATTTTCATTTCTTGTGCTATAATCACAGGACAATATAAGTCTCCATATATTTACTGAGCACCCAATGTATGAAAGCACTTTGTGAGGTGCTGGTAATATGTCAGCCCCTAACCCACAGAGCTCACAACTTAGCCAGGAAGCCGAAAATAACAGACTATAAAATGGCTCAGACACAACCATTGTAGTGGGAGCTAAGGAAATGAAGTACAGAGTCAGGATGTCTAATGAGACTGGATTACTGGGGATAGAGGGGCTGAAAAAAGTTGCCCTGAAAAACTGATGCTTTTGTTCTGCTCTATATTGGTTTTCTACTGCTGCATAATAAATTACCATAAACAGTAGCTTAGATTAATTTGTTTTAATTATTTACCCTTACAATATAATATATAAAATTAGATTTAAATTATATATAAAATTATATAGAATATATAAAAATGTATTCTCTCACAGTTTCTGTGGGTCAGGAGCCCAGGCACAGGTTAGCTGGGTCCTGAACTCAGGGTAAAATCAAGGTGTCAGCCAGAGCTACGATATCACCTGAGGTTCACAATCTTCTTCCAGGCTCATCCAGATTGTTGGCAGAATTGAGTTCCTTGTGCCTATGGGACTGAAGTCCTAGTTTCTTGCTGGCTGTCATCTTGCCAGCTTCTCAAGGCCAATCTCAGGTACCACCCCATTGCCCTCTCACAGCGTGGCAGCTTTCCTCAAATGCAGTAGGAGAATCTTTCTCCAGTCTACCAGGACAAGTCATATATTATGTAACCTCATCAGGGGAATGATTATCCATCATAGGCAAAAGTCCTACCTGCGCTCAAAGGTAAGAGGCTAAATGGGGCCTGTACAAAAGGGGGTTGGGGCTTTGATGCCACCTTGGAATTCTGCCACAACAAGCTCTGAACAGTAAGTGAGAATAACCCAGGTGAGGGGTGGGTGGAAGGATGGGAAATGAACATTCTAGGCAAGAAGAATGGTACTTGCAAAGACTATGAAGACCCTATAGTAGAATGATTGTTCAAGAATATGGAAGATAGTGTGGCTGAAGGGCAGAAAGTCGATGGAGTCTGTCACCATACGAAGAAGAGCTAGAGAGGGACGGAGGGACCACCGCCAGCAGGCAGGCTAGAGGCTCTGCTTGATGGTTATTTTAAGAACAATGGGGAGCCAAGAATGGTTTGTTTTGTTTGTTTGTTTAAAGACTGGAGGCTCAGACCACGCATTCCTCTAAAGAGAGTCTGTGTGGGCCTGACCTCTACATTCCCAGTGCCTAACATAGTGCCTGAAACATGATAGGTACTCAGTGCTGGCTTTTCCCATTTGCCAGCTTTCTATTTCTTGGCTTCCCCCTGGCTTCATAATCTGACTGCCTTACCTGCCTCAGGTCTTCTTGTTAGTACTCCTGTTTGAAACCCATTCTCTGACCCTGTGACCTCAACCCCCACACTAAATGCTCATATTTCTTTCTTTGGTCTACTCTCTGAGAGTAAATGAGACACACTCCTGCCGCCACCCTGGACTATCGGCTTCTACCCAGCCAGAGCTAATCCCTACTGTTTTTCCCATCTGTGGAGGAGAGACAGAGTTGCTAATGTTGTTAAGGAGAAACCTTAATAGCATCAGCGCTGTCTTCTAAGTCTTTATGGTAGCTGACATTGCTGAGTATTTTGCTCTAAGACATGCAGTGCATATTTCATTTAAGCCTCACAACAATCTATGAACTATTTAAAACATAACACTCATTATGGCCTGAACTGTGTCCCCCCTGAATTTCTATATTTAATCCTAGCCCCTAGAACCTTCCCATTTGCCAGTAGGACCCCTGAGAATTACTATGATTCACACAGGACTATTAGTAGACTTGTAAATTGTAGTACCCTTTGGACACTGGGCCTCAAATATCTATCTATAAGCAGCATATTATGGCAGTTAGGAGTGCAGGCTTTTTGGTTTTCCATAAATAAATTTGTAAGAAAAAAGTGGGGAAAGATGGAGGGAGAACCTATAGCTTTAAAAATACTTATGAGATAACTAAATCTCAATACATGGCCCTTATTTGGATCCTGATTCAAACACATTTTAAAGATGTAAATAAAATGAAGATAGTGCAAAAGGTAGAAAACTACAGAGCAATATCTCTCATGAAAGGGACACAGAAATTATCAAAACATATACAATATATACAAATACAGTTATATATAAAAACATGATCTACCACAACCAAGGAGGGTTTATCCCAGGAAAGCAACACTGACTCAGTATTAAAACAAAAACTATGTAGTCCACCATATTATAGTGTGAGGATGATCGTATTAATTGATGTAGAAGAAACCACTTGGCAAGGTTCAGTATCCACACAAGATAAAAACTCTTAGAAAACTAGGAATAGAAGAGAATTTCCTCAACCCAATAAAGGGCAGCCACAGAACAAGCCAAGCCCTAGAGCTGTCATACTTAATGGTGAAAGAGTGAATGTTTTCTCCCTAAGATCAGGAACAAGGCCAGGATGTCCACTCTCACCACCCCTATTCTGCATGGTCCTGGAAGTCCTCATCTGTACAATAAGGCAAGTAAAAGAAAAGGCATATGGATGGAAAGGGAAGAGACAAAACTGTCCGTGTCACAGATGACATGGTTGTCTATATAGAGGATTCCAAGAAATCTACAAAAACCCCCTCTTAGAATCAATGAATTTAGCAAAAATCACAGAATACAAGGTCAACACACAAAAATCATTCATATTTATACAACTACTTAAGTACAATTGGAAATCTAAATTTTAAAGGCCATATTTAAAATAGCACCCCCCATGGCTTGAATTGTGTCTCCCAAAATTTATATTTAAGTCCTAGCTCCTAGAACCTCAGATATGACTGTATTTGAAGACAGAATCTTTAAAGAGGTAAAATGAGGTCATTTAGAGTGGGCTGTAATCCAATTATGACTAATGTCCTTGTAAAAGGAAATTAGGACACAAAACACACACAGAGGGAAAACCATGTGAAGACACTGGCCATCTACACGCCAGGAGAGCTGTGTCAGAAGAAATCAAGGGCAAATGTCAAATCTGGTTGGGAAACTGTAGGTGAGAAAGAACGACCATCTTGGCAAATTTGTTGCTCCGCTGGCCCTCAGTATCTATTTCCAACTCCTCCTGTCCCATGCTTCTGCTGCCAACAGACCTCCGTCTGAGTCTTTATGGTAGCTGACATCTGTTGAGTATTTTGCTCTAAGACAAGCAGTGCATATTTCATTTAAGCCTCACAACAACCCTAGGAACTAGATAGATGGTGTACTTATCCATCTATAGATGAGGAATCAAGAGAAGTTGAGTAAGTTGTCCAAGGTCACAGTATCAATGTAAGTGCTACAGGCGGGTTTCTTATCAGTTCAATCTGCCTCCCAAGCCCAAGCCTTCGACCCTGAGGGCAGGAGAACCAGGCTCAGGACAAGAAGCTTGGCTTGGACCCAAAGGAACCTCCTGAACGGCCCGATGGTCTAATGGCCTGGCACCGTGAGCAAAGCCAGTCAAGCGGAACCAAGAAATGAAGTTGCCAGGCCGTGTTCATTCCCGAAGGAGCCCCCGCCAGGCTGTTCAATCTCTTGCAGTTCAGCCTGCTGAAACACACGGGACTCAGGCTCAGCCTCTCCTGCTCTACTTTGAGCCTGTCTCTGGCTCAACACCAGACCCCTGTGTTTAGCACTCGCAGACTCAAGAGCCTTCCAGTCCTCAGCTTGCTGTGGTTCCACATGTGACCGGACTCACTTCTAAAGACGGCGAGAGAGTGAAAGGGGCAGGGAGAAAAGATTGGCGACGAGCGGCCAGCGGTGCGGGTCTCAAAAGATCAGGGAAAAGTACCGGAGCTCCTTATAAGAGCGGCACCGCCCAGCCCAGAGGAGAGAGGCGGGGCGCTGGAGACTCCGCCCGCCTACCCGCCTCTTCGGCCCCGCCCCCTTCCCGCCCCGCGGCGCATTGTGGGATCTGTCGGCGAGCCTGGCTGCGGAGGGCCGGTGCTCGGTCATGGGGTTCCAGCCGGTGAGACCCTCGCTCCGTGCCCCGCGCCAGGGAACTCGCCGCATGTGGTTCCGGGCGCTCGGCTCCGGCCCAGGGCCTCTCACCGCCGACCCCGTTCCTCAGGGCTCGGCGTCCGCCCTGGATGCCAGCGTCCGGGTCCCGCACGTTCGGGCTCGGGACCATGCCCAGGGCCCCCTCCTGGCGTGCCCGCGAACGGGAGCTCGTATCGCCCTCCCCGGGGCGGTTGGTCGTGCGGGGCGGTCACTACCTACCCCCTGGGCTCCCTGCGTGGCGGTCACGCTGCTTCTCTACCCACAGAGCCCGGTCTTGCTGGCCTCCCTGGGGGTGGGGCTGCTGACTCTGCTCGGCCTGGCTGTGGGCTCCTACCTGGTTCGGAGGTCCCGCCGGCCGCGGATCACTCTCGTGGACCCCAGTGAGAAGTACCTGCTGCGACTGCTAGACAAGACGGTAAGTTGGAGGAAAGAGCCAGGGAGGAGGAGGGGACCGGAGCTCCCCTCCTGTTACGAAGGGGACAGGATCACTGTAGTTGCCGTGCCCCAAGGCACTTGGCAGCGCCAGACCTGCCTGGTGAAACGCTTGTGTCATCCACCCTCCAGAATGTGAGCCACAACACCTGGAGGTTCCGCTTTGCCTTGCCCACCGCCCACCACATTCTGGGACTGCCTGTGGGTAAGGAGAGTATGGAGTGGGCTCCTCTCCCTGGCATCCTAAGGGTGGTTCCCCCTTAGGGCTTTCCTGAAACCTGCTGCTGCAGGCTCTTGCCCCTGCACTCCCTTCCCCTTCCCCTCCCTGGCTCTGGGTCCTCCCGGCTGTGGGTCCCAAGGGGCCACAATAGGTGTGGTTTCTGTGCCCCCGGACATCGTTAACACTCCCCAGTCCTCCCTCTTTCCAGTAGGATTTGTTTATACTGCCCCTAAAGCAAGCAGACACTGACACTTTCCCCCATTGCCCAGACCAACTCCCCTGCTGCTGCTCAGGTCCAGGCAGTGTTTGTTCAGAGTTTCTCCAATGGGAGGGCTTGGAAGGAACTAGAGGCTGAAAGGGGCGAATCCTCCCTACCTGGTAGCTCCCTGGGACCACAGTAGGAAGCAAGACATCCTTGGCCTCTCAAAACTCCCCGAGTACTTTGAAAGGTAACAGGAGAGCAGCCTGTTCGCAGGCAGCCCTTATGTAGCTCTCCATGTGGTCCCCAGGCAAGCATGTCTACCTCTCCGCCCGGATTGATGGCAGCCTGGTCATCAGGCCATACACTCCTGTCACCAGTGATGAGGACCAAGGCTATGTGGATCTTGTCATCAAGGTAAGGGGGGATGAAGGAACCCCGAGAACTCCATACCCTACTCTTTCTGGGATTTGGAGAAACTTCCAAGATTTGTTTGATAGCAGGAGATGCATGTCCTTTGTGGGTCTGAAGAAATTATGTGGACTGGGGAAAGACAGGACACGTGTAAACCCTGCCCCAGCTTCCAGGAGGTTCAGTCAACAGGGGCTCAGAAACTGGTGACATTACAAATAAAGTATTGTCCATTCTGTCTTATCAGGTCTACCTGAAGGGTGTGCACCCCAAATTTCCTGAGGGAGGGAGGATGTCTCAGTACTTGAACAGCCTAAAGATTGGGGATGTGGTGGAGTTTCGAGGGCCAAGCGGGCTGCTCACTTACACTGGGAAAGGTAACAGCCTCTCTTCCCCTTGAGCCTGTCTCCCACTTCTCTAGTGCCCAAAGGCCTGGCAAAGTGTGGCTGTGTGGTTTTGTGTGCACGAGTGTGTCCGGGCCAGCTTTAACACAGCACTGATGTTATAGGAAGGCCTATTTCTCAGCCCAGTGGTCACAGGGATCAGTGCCCCATCCACTTGCATTCACCAACCATCTGTGGACACCACTAAAACAGACATAGCCTCTTTCCCTTCCTCAGAGATTCGCCCCTCGGGCCAAGCTGTTCAGAGAGGCAGAGATGGTTTTCAGCCCTTCCCAGGGGAACTGCTGGCTGCATTAGCAAGCCTCTGGAGCTGCTCTGTGCCACTTGGGAAAGTAGATTCACACCTGGCCCCAGGCCTGTCGCCTTCACCAGGGAGTGAGCCTCTGCCAAATGCAGCTAATGACTCACTGTTGTGGCCCTACACCAACAGATCATCCTGGCCCCATTGTCCCTCAAATGTATTATTGTCAGGGCTGCCGATCTCAGACTGCCTCCCAAAGCCCAGGATCAGATTTCACAGCGACTGCTAAACAGGCCTGGGACATATTTTCAGTTCTGCATTTGTGTTCTTAGTTCTCTACAGTGACTTCATTCTTCTACCCCTCTCTTCATTTGACTTCTCAGGGAACTTTAGCATTCAGCCCAACAAAAAGTCTCCACCAGAAATCCAAGTGGCCAAGAAGCTGGGAATGATTGCCGGCGGAACAGGTGTATGTCCTGCAAGGGGCCGTTCTCCCTCACCACTGTTGATCGTTCTGGTGCCCCTCAGGTTGGGTAACCATAGCCACGCTGTTAATTGCGATTCCCGGCAATTCCTAGAGCTCCCCAGTATCTGAGTAACAAAATCACAATCAGGAAGAAACAAAAAATTTATTTAAACTGATAGAATGAGAGAAATAAGAGGTGTTCTCTTTCAAGGCTTCCAAGGCCTCAAATTCCATGAATCTAATGATTTTTAGGTGAGGACAGACAAGCAGATAAGACTAGGATAGTCGAGAAGAAAGAAGATTAACATTAGACATCTCTGTGTATTAGATACCATACTAGTCACTTTATATATGTACCTATGGAGTGCGTACTAGCCTTCCCCGTTTACACATGAGAAAAATGGGGGTTCAGGGAGGTTAAATGGTTTCCACAGGGTTAACTGGTAATGGCCCCAGGTGGGGTTAGTGTCCAGCCTGCAAACCAAAGCACATGCACCCCTCCCCAGCCCCCCACCCCCGGCATGTCCAGTGTTCCAGAATCCTCCTCACTAAACTAGTAGGTGCCTGTAGTCATCTGAGACACTGGAATCCTAGCCTCCCTGGGATTTTCAAGGAAGAGTCTTAGATTGGTTCCTTAGCAGGATTTCAACAATACGAACTTACGTAAATACTGAACATGGTCACAGTTCACCTTCCAAATATGAATTTTGGTGAGTTTGGGATAAAAGGCCTATCTATCCAGAAATGTAGGCATGTAGAATCCCCAGGTAGAGACCAGAGGATTAGGATACTAAAGGAAAATGGAGTGGAGTGGTGAGCGAGTAAAATCAAGATCAAAGTGTTGGTTGACTGGAAGAGAAGCTGCGAGAGAGGAGAGGCTGTGGCCCCCACGTCTCACTGCAGGGTGTCTTTGTAGGAATCACTCCAATGCTACAGCTGATCCGGGCCATCCTGAAAGACCCTGGAGACCCAACCCAGTGCTTCCTGCTTTTTGCCAACCAGGTTGGTCTGCTTTTCTCAGTCCTGGGATTTGAAAGTAGTTGTGTGGTGGGGCTGAGCAATGTGGTACCAGAGCCCATTCTAGCCTCCATCCGGGAGCCCCCCTGCAAGGGAGAGGACCCCACACTACAACAAGGAGGACAGAGCATTGAGCCAAATTCCTTCCCTGGCCCCCAAGGAAGGAAGCAAAGAAAACATTTAAGGAATCTATCACTGAGTGCAGTAACTTGCTCCTTGGGTTTCCTTTGTTAAATATTTCATCTTTATTCCCTCATACTGTATCAATAAAGGCCGTTCCCTTCTCCTTCCCCTCATCCCAGCTCTCTCAAAGTCTTGCTTATTCCCTAGAACTTTAGCATTCTTTTTTCTTTCCTGGCTGGAAATTATTATAGCAGACAACTTCCTTTATGTGGGCCTGAGAAGGGTCCTTAAGACTTTGCTCGCCTTTTCATTTCAGACTGAAAAGGACATCATCTTACGGGAGGACTTGGAGGAGCTGCAGGCCCGATATCCCAATCGCTTTAAGCTCTGGTTCACTCTGGATCATCCCCCAGAAGGTACCCTCCTCAGTTCTGGACACCCCAAAGCTAGGGCTATGGCCCTCTGCGGGTTCCATTTCAGTGAAACCAGCCCTCTCTGGTACTGCTAAGCTCCCCGGTCTGAGTGCGCGGACACAGAGGGTCTCCTGGGCCCTTTCCTTCCCGTTCCTACTTACCAGGTGGGTGGCAGGGGTGGCTGAGCTGCCGGAGCAGGCAGAGTATGCATGTCCAGCTGACGCTTCAAGCCTTTTTGGGTGCATGGTACTATACCCCCCTTGCTAGCATGGGTCTGGAGTGTTGTTCTTTCCTCTCCCTGCACTTCAGATTGGGCCTACAGCAAGGGCTTTGTGGCTGCCGACATGATCCGGGAGCACCTGCCCGCCCCAGGGGATGGTGTGCTGATACTGCTCTGCGGGCCGCCCCCAATGGTGCAGCTGGCCTGCCATCCCAACCTGGATAAACTGGGCTACTCAAAAAAGATGCGATTCACGTACTGAGTATGCCGTGGTTCCCGTGGTCCTGTTCCCTGCACTGGTCCCCAGTCAGTATTCAAATGCTCTAAGCCCTAGATTCCTTTCCTGGCAGTAGCAGTCCTTTTGTTTTATTCTGGAGCTAAAATCTGAGTGGTACCTACAGAAGCAACATTCTTACAGCCACGGGAAAGGCCAAGGCCGAGTTGTTCCCTGGAAGGCCCCCCACATGTCCCCGAGATAAAAGGCCCAGGTCAGACCCATGGGTCAGAAAGAAGCAAGCATGTACATTCATGCTGAGACCGGCTAGTTCCTTGATAGCATCACACTCCAGTCTTTTTTGTGCCTGTGATGAAAGGAACAATCCATATAATGGATTTTACTTAATATTCGGTGCTTCACCCATAACAAATTTTGTATGTCTGAGTACAAATTGAACTGATTTCTAGACTTACAGGGATGGTGGGAAAGGAGGAAATGGTTTCTTCAGACCTCTAGACCTCAGGGAAAGGAATCTGAAATATGTATTTGTGTGTCTGTCTCTCTCTGTCCCTTCCCAGGCTGGAGGGAAGCACTGACCCACAATCTAAAGCTTCAGCTGAGGGCAGAAACCTCTGGCTATGCAAATAAATGGGGCTGAGGCCCCTGTGGTATACCTGAGGGCTGATTGTGTCTGGGGCCCTTGTTTCCAATCTTTTCATGCCTGAGAATTTTGGAAGGATGAGTTTCCCAGCATAGACATTCTCCAGGTCTTCCAAAGAGCCTTTGAGCACTTGTCCCATGTGCTGAAATGTGAGCTGCCACCAAATTCAGTGACCATCTCAGCAGCTGTCTCAGCAGAACCAGAAGCTCAGCTTCTCCCTGGAAGCTTGTAAGGTGGGGGAAGGGGAACACAAGAGAGAGGGGAAGCTTTTTGAGCCCAGGTGCCCCTCACAGTGGCCCCCTGACTTGGCCATTCTTCCCTTCTTCATTTTCTTGGTCTTCCCTTTATAACATTTATCTATCAGGGTACCTGGCAAACAAATCAAAGTATTGTCTTTCTGTTTGGAAGAGAAGTCTTCTCCTTTAAAAAGTAACCTGACATCACCAACCCGAGCCAGACTTCTTGGTGCCTGGACAGTTGGCCTCCCCAAGGCCCATCTGTCCTGACTGCCCTTCTCTGCCAGAGTTGGGCTGGGGCAGCTTCTTCACATCTTCTCTGTTGGTCTCAGTGGGACAGAACACTGTATCAGCCTCGGGAGGAAGGTTGACCTTGTTTTCCTGCATAGAACTGTGTGTTGCTTTCCCTGGGGCCCCTGAAAGAAAGGCTTAGAGGCTCAGAATTCACCCTTCCACAAGATAGAGTCATCAGGAAATTCTGTTATCGCTATTCCATCAGATATTTATTTATTAGCTAGTATGTTTATGCCACTAGACATTCTCAGCCGCCTCACCTCCCAAAAGGACAATCTGGCTTAGTATTAAGTTCAGACAGTGAAGCAGCTTAGCAAAGAGATTTCTTGCATGGAAGCTCACCCTTCTTTGTCTTGCATGGATTTCTGCCTCATCTGCTCAAAGTACAAACATTTATTTAAGGCCTGCCACATGCCAAGTACTGTGCTAGGCCTGAGGACATGATCAGGACCAAGACTGCTCTTAGACCTCCAGAGAACTCATAGTCGGGAGTAAGGTAGATGAGTGATCAATAATCACAACACAGAGTGATGAATACTGTGGTAGAGATACAAAGTGCAGATGGAAGGATTGGGGAAAGAGAAGGAAAATGAGAAGAAAGAATATTTTTAAGTTAAAGGCCATATAGCAGTTACTGTGCTAAGCACTCATTGTATAATTTAATCCTTACGATAATCCTGTGAGTCTAGGATTAAGGATGTGCCAAATGTGATAGATTGAGTCGGAGGCGGGCCTAGGGCCAGGCGCTGTGAATTGCTGGGCTCTTTCAGCACAGAGTGGGGGTGGGAGCCGGGAAGGCATTCCAACGGAAGGATCTGCATGTGCAAGAGCCTGGAGGTATGAAAGCGTTCTTATTTGGAGAACTTAGAGACTTTCATTGAGCCTCAAATGCCTGAGGGAAAGTGGAGAAAGATGAGACCTGAGAGTAGGTCAGAGCCAGCTGGTGAAGGGCCTTGTAAGGGCATGCTGAGGAAACTTGAACCCAACCCTATGTACCTGGAATTTTCTGAGGCTTTTATACAGTGGGCAACACACAGCTAACATTTTTGAAGCATTTACCATTCACCAGACATCATACTAAGAGTCTGAATAAATTGCCTCACTTGATTCTTACAAAGACTCAGTAAAATGGCACTATTTTATTCCCATTTTTCAGATGAGGTCATTATCATTTGGCGGGGCTCAATAACAGTGCTCATGGTCATAGGCTGGCCACAGACGGAAACCTGGGTCTATGTGCTCCAGAGCCCCCACTTGTAACCAGCACCTTAAGGACTGGTCCCACTCTGAGGCATTCATGTGAGGTGATGATAAGTTACCTTCTCTCTGAATCTAGAATAGCACTAGGTATGCGCCATCCTTGGGAGAACTGAGAAAATTGTCGGTGCCGCACATTATTTCGTGTGTTCTGGGGTTTAGGTGTCGGCTGCACCACCCTGTAGTCACCCACTGCACTGTGGGAGCACCAGCGGGAGCCGGGGTTTCTCCAGTGAGCTGGGTACTGAGAAATAGTTCTGCTGTTTTTGACAAAAAACAGGCTAGTAACTAAAGTCTAGCCCAGTGCCTTGCACATGATAGGCACTCAATAAATATTTGTGGAAAGGAGGGAGGGTCCGTGAGGTTGAAGAAGGGATTAAGAAGTTCTTCGGAGTTAAAAGGACTGGCGTTGGTAATAGACGAAAAGTAAGGAATTTTCCAGCTTAGAGAACAAGGTGCATGACAGGAAAATCTGCATTCCTTCCCAGGGTTCCTTCTAATTCCCTGAAATTCCTTCTCCATCTCGCATACCAGTTCCCGATTTAGGGGGTGTGGTCCCCGGGAGGTCTTGCGAGGTGGACTTCACGATTAGCGCACAGTGAGGGGGCGGGGCCTGGCCCGCGAGGGGCGGGGCCGAGGGGAGCGGGCCTGGGATTGGGACTGCGGCGGGCGGGAGTGCCCGAGAGGCGGTGACGCGGCCGCGGAGGTGACGCTGTGTGGTCGCGCGCCCCTTCCGGCGAGGGGAGGGCGCTGAAGATCGGGGCCGCTCGGCCGCAGGCCGCCTGCAGCACCGCGGGATGTAGCGCGGGGGACCGCGGCCCCCAGCAGAGCCCACCCGGCCGGCCGTAAGTGTCCCGGGGCCGCCGCGGCGAGCGGGCGGGCGGGAGTCGGCCGCCGCCCCCGGCCCAGGCCTGAGGCGGGGACATCCCGGTGGGCCAGCCTCCCCGAGGTCCCCAGGGTCCCGAGCCCCCGGTGCCGGAGCCGGCCGCGCCTCCCGGCTTCGCGGCTGCCGGGGTTGTAAACATTTCCGGCCCCTCCCACTGCGCGCCGCCTCCGAGGCGGCCCTGGAGCGATTTCAGGGCGGTGGGCTGCGTCCTGCGGCTTTCCCGGGCGGGAGCCGCTGCTGCGGAGCGCTGTCTTCCCAGCCGCGCTCGGGGTTTGACACGTCTGGGTTCAGGCGCCGTCTCGGGACAGGCCGGGCCGGAGCTAAGCCTGGACCCAGGGCCGCCGCGCGAGGCAAGTGGGGAGTGGGGTGTGGGCCTGGCTCGCAGAACCGCCTCGGCCGCAGCACCCGCCTTGGGTTCCGTGGGAAGCACTAAGGTCCTCCACAGTCCGTCTTTGGCAGGTCAGACCGCGACAGCGCCCCCACCTTGATGGGGAGAACGGGAGGTTGGTGGATAATTTACCTTTATTTAAGGTAGTCAGTCCTAAACGGTGAAATGTGAGCAAAATCTAAACTACTTTTGGGAGAACTGCAGTTTCATTCCCTCAGAAATCTCGCATTGATGTATGCCATCTAAAGTTTGAGATTTTTGGTCTTCAAGCCTTCAGTTTTTAAGAAAATAATGTGCTTTCCCTGGGTTTCTGCTGTTTCATAGGCCAGTGGGAAACTGACAAGGTGAATTTCAGTTCAGGTTGAGGCATCAGAAGAGCAATCGGCGGCCCACATACTGCTTTACTAGCTTAACTATAGTACTGCTCCCAAGTATTTAGAAGACAGCCTAGAAAAACACATAACCAGGCGAACACTATAATGGCTGGTTCTTTCTGGAGGGAAGTGAAGTGGGATTGTTCGCTGCTTTTCTCTCTTGATAAGGGCTGGGTCACCTGTTGTGGAGCAGCTGCTGTTCCCAATGTTTATAGGATCTGTTCAGTACTAGGAATCTAGACTGGGTGGTGCTAAACAGACTGAAATGTCAGGGCAGCAGTTCCCGGCTTGCAGCCGGTAAATTTCTTTAAACCGGGAGTACGTCTGTGTTCCCATATAGTAGTTGGTACTTGGGGAATCAGTCTTAAAGACTGGCGTGTAAAGTTTTTACTTACCATCTTCGGGTAGACCTCCACAAAGCTATACCTAATCGCAGACTAGAATCTGAAAGCATTCTGTTCCCAGCAACAAAGAAATTACAAGATTCTCAAGAGATTTAAAAAAATTAACCAACTACTGTGCCTGCAAGGAGGAAAGAATCTCAGGTAAGTATCAGGGAGCAATATTAATCCACAAGGTTCACATTGCTAATGGAGAAAGTACACCACCATTGCTAATGGTAAAGTACACCACCTTAGGTAGGCTTTGCAGCTGACTTTAGTTTCTTCAGCCTGGCCTCATTTACCTTTTCAAGACTCCCTAATGAAAAAGTGGATTATTGACTAGCTAGAGTGGGGGGACTATGTTCTCTCAAACTTGCCCTAGTTTATAGCACAGAACGAACCTGGAATGCCCTGCTCCCATCTTTACCTATCAAAATCCTTTCTTAATATCTTCTGTTAAACCTTTCCTTACTCAAACTAAAAGTGAGTTTTCCTTCTGAGTTCCTACAGCACTTTAAATAATGTTAATAGAAAGCAAAAGTCATTGCATCTTCTTGAAATAGAGGCCAGCAGCCATGTCGAGCCTCCAGTTCCTCTCTCTGCCTTCCCTCTGTAGCCACAGTGCTGTACATATTGTAAATAATCGGTAGGTGTTCTCAGATGGATGAAGGATGGAATTTGCGCTTCTTTCTAGGCCAGTAAGTTTGTTCTCTGTTTCCCTAGGTAATGGCCTTTGACTCCTAAAATATAAAGCCAGACTGAAACTCTTCTAACACTCTTGCTACATTATCCTGTCCCATCCACTTGTGATCACACTGGCGACCTAACAGTCATCTTTAAATCCAGAAGCTTTATTAATTATGGTGGATTTTTTTTTATGGTACTCATCAAAGTTGTTACATTTTGTCCCTAATGTCACCTACTGGACATTGTTCCTCTTACTGTGCTCAAAGCTGATTCCCTTTCCCTACTCAGAAATGTTGGGGGTGTGAATAATGTTTGTAAAGCTTGTAGCTCTCTTGGATTGAAAAGATCCGTGAAAGTGCCCTCTGGCCAAACCAGTTCCAAGTGATTGGCTTTTAGGCATGCTCCTTGTTCGCTTTCATCTTACTGGGGCTCCTGAGGGGCACAGGATGAAGTGATTGCTATGTAATGTGCAACTGTATTAACTGTATGTCTGTAATGCACTTGAAAGCCAGGTGTTAGAAACAGGCACCGGCATGAAACTGCTTCATATGCCTGCATATACTTTGCTTATTGTTTTGGGTTTGTTACGGCGTTTGAAAGGCTTCGCTGTCTCTGTTGGGGGTCAGAGACCTCTTCTGTCGGAACAGCTCTACCTGGAGAGAAGCTGCAAAGGAAGTTCAGTTGTGATTTCCCACTTCAGACTTGAAGTCGGTGACATTCGGCATTAAGTAGGAGAGCTGAGGCCTCTTTACTGCGATCTAGTAATTTTCAAACTTAGGCCTTTGCCTTGAGTCATTTTTACCGGGCAATGCTCTAAAACCACCTGCCTTACAAGAGAGTACACAGAGGAGATGGCTGTGTCCTTTGTCTCTGTTGCTAGACTAGTCTTGCTTTAGAACAATGAGAGTCAAGTAGGCAAAGACGGACCCTACCCCATGGAGGCTCGAAAGGTCCAGGAACCCCAGATTAAAAACTAGAAGAAGCTTTGTGCCTTTGACTCCAGAGAAGGGGGTCTGCTATATAGCCTAGAATACTTGAGTACTGATTCACAGAGTAAGTGCCTCAGAAAACTGTGAGAGAAATAAATGCCCCAGCTAACTGGCTGGTGATTAAGAATCAGTCCTTTCCCAAGGTTGGCATAGGATTATCTTACTTATAGGAGCACAAACATCTCCCTGCCCCCACAGTTTATTCTCAATTAGCACAGATTTATCCAGTTGGAAAGCTTAGTGGGATAGATTTATTAGCTTGAATTGAAGAAATCCCATCAAAAATGCACTCAGTAGAGTTTGCCCCAGTTATAATTTTCTATATTGGGTCTGGTAAATTTGAGGGCAAGTGTGTTTCCTCTAAAATACACGTGGATGTAGAAAGCTGACCGAAAGTTGCAGTGCGTTTGGCTCTCCTGAGCGCTCCCAGAATCAGTCTTAACACTTTAGGGTTTTCTACTAACTTTACATAATAGAGACCAAAACATGCTTGTAATAATTCCCAGTTGTTTGTGAGTGGTCCATTGTACCAGAAGTTATATTTTCAGGTCTCAGGATTATTTGCTCTTCTTTCTTGCCAGACCTCCGATCCCTCTCTCTCCCTTTCCTGTCTCTGTGTTACTACAGTTTAGAAGACCAAACTGGACAATGGACTTTGCTCACTATGATGACATGACCTCCATTGACCTCCATTGTATGTACTTCGATGCATGATGACGTATCTTGTATGAGTTGTAGCTGGTGGCTGGTGTGTTAGTTAACTGGGGTTTCTGTTTAGTGACTCTGGGTCTAGAATTCAATTTTGAGGGGAGGTATAGGAGCTAGTGATAGAAGAGCTGGAGGAAATCAAAAGAATTAACAGAAAGTGATTTAGACTGAAAGAGAAAAGACTTTGATGATGGCCAAGAGACTAAGGCCATTCTAAGAGAACATTAGACTTCAAAGCATACAGACTTTTCAGATCAAATGAAGAAGTTAGAAAGAATACCAAGCTGGATTCTGCATCTGATCACTGACCCTAAATTTAACCTCAGGTTTGTCTATATTGTTCTCATTGGATCTAGTGAAGTAGTTACACAGCATTCAAAGTCACCGAACTCAGTGTGTGTCCTTTCTAGGTGAGGGGTTCTCTTCCTCTGCTGACTTTCTGAAGTGGTGGAATTACATCCCTGATTTTGTACACACCACAGATCACCTTATGCCATCTGATTATAGACTCCTCAGAGACAATGGCATCACTCATTCAACTTTGTATGCCCTAGGGCACCGTAGCATGCTAGTACTAAATACACTTGTTACCTATCCATGAATACATTAGTTTACTGTCCGGAAAGGGGTTGAAGAAAGCCCCACAAGCACAAGAAAAGGTACGGAAACCCTTAGCTAGTGACAAGAAGCTAATAAGCCATGTGCTTGCCAGTTGGAATGCTGCCCCACTCATTCATTTGAAATATGGGTTCTGATCAACATAGGGATATGTATCAATTTATGGTCCGTGTAGTATTGTATGTATCACAAAACCTGAGAAGAATTTTTTTTTGCCCCAGTGGCCAGCCTCTAAAGTACTGGCAGCATTTGTTATTCTAATCTAGATGTATTGCCCTTTTCAGACTTCTCCAAGATGCCCAAAGCTATTTATATTATTGGCTGCAGTATAAATTATTTCTTAGTAGAACTGTTTATTCAGTAATATTTTACTTTGAGGTGAATATGTTTTGTGGTCAGCCTCTTGAAAAAGATTTCCCAGTGTTGCTTCTCACCTGGGCTGCTGTCTCCTGAGGTTTTCAGGGGCTTCCAGTTTCCTGTTCTCCTTGGGCTCAATTGTTCACCATGACTGTGGGCTGGCATCTGTCTTGTCAGAGTCTTGCACGTTTGAAGAAAGAGAAAGTGTCTATGTGCTGACACCATATAAAGGTCTAATGTACAGTGAGTTAACATTTGCCCTCTTGAACTAGATTTGCCTATGGCTTTTGTCTGAGCTTGCGAGTTTAGCATAGCATGACTTCATAGGAAACTTAAGGATTGCCCTCGCCTGACCTCATATATCCAGCTATAATCCCCAAGAAGGAATCATGACTCCTCTTAGATAAAAGAAGAACTGGTACACGATGTCAAAGATGTTTGTATAGTGAATACCATGGAAGTTAGATAAACAGTGTCACCCTCAAGAGCAAAGTCTTGCTTACTGCCCATTATAAAAGATTTGGGTTCCCTAATCTTATGTTTCCCCTTCTCTAATGCAGCCTGTACATGCACTCCATGTCCAGATGTTACCTGGCTTCTCTGCATTGTCCTATGATATCAGGCTCAGGTAACCAGAGCAAAAAATGCTAATATCCTGGTTGCTACTATTGCAGTGAGTAATAAACTCCTTTGTTTCAGGTGGGGTGGAATGTAAAAAAAAATGTACAAGGTAGTGGAAATATTTAGGCATTCTTCCCCTCTTCAATATTTTCATCTCTCTGAGGCCTTTTTAAAGACTACTACCTGAAGTCCAACTCAGGAAAACCTCAAGTGTTTGAGACTTTTCCTAGAAAACTGTTCAGGGTTTCTCTGGGTTTCCTGAATAATCTATGTCCCTGTCTCTAGTTTCTGAGAAATAAATTTGAGTGGGGCTTATGTTATGAGCTGTGATAGTTGGCACAAGCCCTTGCTGAGCTGGTTGTTTGGCATGTGTGTGGCAAAAGGTAAGGCTGGGGTTGCCTCCTTGTCTTTAACTTCCTGCTTCCAGGTAAGTTATTGCTTGTTCTAAGGAGATATTGTGATGAAAGCTTGCCATCCAAGTCTTGAACCCTGTAATCCTATAATAGAATTAGGAGACCTTGCAGAGAAATCAGGTGCTGGGCATCTAGCTCACAGCCAAGTTCATTTTGCACACCTGTTGGAGCATTTGCAGATAAAGCCAAATTCAGTTGGCATTTAGTTCATTTCTAAGCTTGAGTGGTCTTGTAGAATTACAGTCATGTGTTAGCTTCACATTTTTGCTCTTCCAGGCCTTTTTTGGGCAGGAAAGCTTTAAGAATGATAGACTAGATTCCTCTCAGTTAATGAGCGTCATACCTGTGGGAGAGAGTTAAGGGTGGGGAGCTGTTTTTCTGTGGTAACAATATGGTGCAATAACCACAGATCCTTTGAAGGCAAGCAACCAGGTGTTGTATTTCCACCATATCTATAAGATGAGTGAGGTTCCAAGTAGAGTGGTATCGAAGAGAGAGAACAAGGAATAGATTTCATCTTAGCAATTAACTGGCCTTTAGAATTGGAGACGGTGTGTGAGTTGATTAGCTGTGTCTTTATTCAGCATTAACTTGTGGAAATGAAACTATAAGAGAAATAAATTGTCAACAGTCTTTCTGTTTGTGTTTGTTTTTAGTGTCCACCACCGCAGGGAGCTCTCTGCCCCCTGGGGCTGAGAGGCCCCGACCTTGCCCCAAGCTGTGGCTGAAGGGCATTGAGGTACCAGCCGGATGTCTTCTCATCGAGGATCTGTGGTGGCTCAGGGCAGTGGGGCTCCTGCCAGTGACAGGGAGACTGACACGGTGGAACTGGCTGAACTGGGACCCCTGCTGGAAGAGAAGGGCAAACGGGTAATCGCCAGTCCAACCAAAGTAAGTTGTCTTTCCAGGAGTCGGTCACTTGATCATAATCTCTCCTAGACCCCTTTCAGTCTCCATTTCTTGAGATCGCACTTCCCTCCCAGAGGAGGAACCACAACCCCGGGAATACCTCTGTCTCAGTCCTTTTTGTACTGTCTCGTAAGTAGCATTTTATTTGCCTGTTTTTCCACTGTAAGCTTTTATAAGGTCACTCATCTTTATAATCCTCGTGCTTAGCACAAGGCCTGAAATTTAATAAGTAATCAGTGCATGTCTGTGAATGAATGAAGTATTGGTTAGGATTAGGTTTGGCTTCATATAACAAAAAAATCCCCATAGCTTTGACAAGATAGAAGGCCCTCTCACTGAAAGAACTGGGGAAGTAACCGATCTGAGGCTGATGCAGAGCTCGTCTAATGTTACCCAGCATGCCACCCACCTGTGTGACAGGCACCAGAAAGGAGGAGAAGGGCCCACCCTGTCTGGAAGGACCTGGCAACACTTCCATGCACATCCCATAGGCAGAATTTAGTTACGTAGTCACATTCAGCTGCAGGGGATGTCAGGCAATATAATTGGTCAGGACCAATTTTCACTGGTCCTCAGAAAAATTACAGTAACGTTGCCATCCTGAATAAAACTAAGGACTCTGTTACAGAGGAAGAGAGAGAGAAGGGCTATTGGGATGGGCCAGCAGGCTCTGTATCACAAAATCTGAGAGGGATCGTGGTTTGCCAGGGACCATCAATAGGAGAGAAAGAGAGTAGCCCAGAGAAGGCGCCCATCTCCCTGGTTTGGAGCCTTGGGACAGAGAGAAGAGCCTCCCTCCTCCATAGCCCAGTGCTCTCCAGGGTGCACACTCTGTTGTCAGGGCTCCTGTGGGTACAGGACTCAGTGCTGTTTCTTTCTGTGATGCTACTATGATACAAAGTTTCAGTCATGATAACATCGCCAGGGTCAGTACACAGGGAACTATGAAGGGATTTAAATTGTTAAGGGAATCTCTGAGACTTTGACTTTCCCACTGCTTTGAAAATGTAATGGTCTGGAAGAAAGAAATACTCAGGAAATTAGGGGCAGTTAAAAACCACTACCCTAAACATAAGGGTGGGCCATTCAGACTGCAAGAACACTCAGGACTGGTGTGCTGTGTGTCCCTCTGTGCCAGCCTCCATCAGTCTGTCTCCTGTGTGCTGTGTTCTGCTTTCACTCCAGCACATACAAAGTCTGAATAAATCTTGAGAGTGTGGTAAACTCATTAACTATCATGCTTTTGGAGAAAAAAACACAAGGCTCTGTGCATAGGAGAGAGGCTGGAAAGTACTGGGTTTCGATTTTTCTGGATCTCTCTGGTCTGGAATAGTCCAGCTCATGGGATGACTCCAGGGATTGGTCTTCCTTTATTTTCTTTTCCTAGGCTGAAGAAGAGCAGGCATGCCCCGCGCCCCAGGAAGAGGAGGAGGAGGTGCGGGTGCTGACCCTTCCCCTGCAGGCCCACCATGCCATGGAGAAGATGGAGGAGTTTGTGTATAAGGTACGCTCTGAGAGCTGCTGTCCTGGCAGGGGAGGGGCAGCCGGCTTGCTGGGAACGTCCCAGTTGGCACATGTGTTGTGTGGAAGAGCTTTTGCTCCTGTGCGTGGCTTTGCTGATGCTCAGGGGGAGTCAGTCAGGGGGAAGGCTAGCTGAATTTTTGCTGCCCATTGTTGATTAGCATACATCCGAAAACAGGAGTTTTTGGCTTTTTTTTCTGTAGATCCCTTGGCAGTCATCAAAATTTTTTAATGTGATAGAGTAATACGGGCTTCTTTATGAACAACACATCAAATATACGTAAGGACAAGCTATAATATATTAAAATCTATAATTTCTAAATAGGAGTAAAAACAGTATTTTGCTGTCTGCAATACCAATGTATGAAGATATCTGATTTCTGCAGGGTCACAATGTCTCACATTACTGGTTTGTTGCTTAGATTTGTAATTGAGGGAGAGGTTATATTTTAGTTAGAGACAAGTGAAAATTGAAAAACAAAAATGTTTTCCGTCCATATTTCCATCCATTCCCTGAATTCTGTCCATTGTCCATGTGCCCAGACCCCTGTTCTAAAAAGACAAAGTCTCAGCCCAGTAGGAACTTAGAATCTACTGTGGGGGGATGTGGAGAGCCAGGCGCAATCAAAATCTCCTGCAGGGGAGGGGCAAAAGGGAGAGAAAATGTATGTTTTCAATATCACATATGTAATTTCAGTGTCTTTGTTTTCAATCACTATATTTACTTCATTTTGAAAGTTAAAGTAATTTAAAAGGACAGCCTGCCATATATATATATTTTTTTTTTTTTTTTGAGAAACACAAAGCATGTCCAGATAAGCTACCATGTCACACAACAAAGGCATTCAAAAATAAATAAATAATAAAGATACAGGTCAGAACTGTGAGGGACTCATTCATGTTGTGTCCTGGATAGCTCCACACCCCGGCTGCTTCTCCACTGTTACCTAGGACCATCCAAAGCCTGATTAACACCCTTCTAGCCTGACTGCCCTTCCCCTTGTCCTGAGAAAAACTGGCCTTCTCTAGGGCCCTGCTTAGAGAGGGTGTGTGTATTCTATCCAGGTCTGGGAGGGACGCTGGAGGGTTATCCCATATGACGTGCTCCCCGACTGGCTGAAAGACAATGACTACCTGCTGCACGGCCATAGGCCACCCATGCCCTCCTTCCGGGCCTGCTTCAAGAGCATCTTCCGCATCCACACAGAAACCGGCAACATCTGGACCCATCTGCTTGGTGAGCATTGTGGATGGTGGGAGTTTAATTCTTTGTCTCTTAAGTGCCAAGGGATCATATAGCCTGTGCCATGGGAAGGAAGAACAACAAAGTTGTTCTGATTGACAGCTGGCACCAACCAGTGGGCCTCACTGACTCCTGATCACTGATCTTTTAAGACTGGAGGAGGAAGGCCTAGAAACAGGAGAAGAAATTGGAACTAAGTGTTCTCATGACCCCTGGCAGGACTGTCCTGGATGAGGCAATTCCTTTTACAGGCAAGCCTGGTTTCATTGAGCTTTCCTGTATTGCACTTTGCAGATACTGTGTTTCTTAGAAATTGAAGGTTTGTGGCAACTGCGTGGAACAAGTCTGTCAACACCATTTTTCCAATAGCATTTCCTCTCATGTCTCTGTCTCACATTTTGATACTTCTTGCAGTATTTCAAACTTTTTCCTTACTACTATGTTTGTTATGGTGACTGTGATCAGTGATTACAACTCTCTGAAAGCTCAGGTAATGATTAGCATGTTAATTAAGGTTTGTACAATTCTTTAGACATAATGCTGTTGCACACAACAGACTATAGTATAGTGTAAACGACCTTTTTGTGCATTGGGAAAAAGTGCATTTGACTTGCTTAATTGTGATGGTCTCTTTATTGTGGTGGTCTGGGACTGGACCCACAGTATCTGGAATCTGCCTGTATTTCATAAATTCCATTGTCAAAATGCCAACATTTTAAAAATGCTCTATTTGTCAGGGTTCATATCACTGGTTTCCTTTTGAGCTTTTTGCACTGCAGTTTCCACTGCTAAACCCTGTAGTTGGAGTACTTATTTAACATTGTCAACTCTAAAAGTGTACATATTCCCATTTTCCTCAGGCCTTTTTTCTTTTCTCTCCTGTAGGTTTCGTGCTGTTTCTCTTTCTGGGCATCTTGACCATGCTCAGACCAAACATGTACTTCATGGCCCCCCTGCAGGAGAAGGTGGTTTTCGGGATGTTCTTTCTGGGCGCAGTGCTCTGCCTCAGCTTCTCCTGGCTCTTTCACACCGTCTATTGCCATTCAGAGAAAGTCTCTCGGACTTTTTCCAAGTGAGTTGAAAGAATATCAGGAGGGGAAGTCCATGCGCTGTTGTCACATCTTGTGCTCCGAGTGCTTACTGGCCACTGGGAACTCCAGCAACTCCTAAAGATTCCCGGATGTGCCGGAGGAAAGGCTTTCTATTTGGTGGGGGCGGTAGCATGATGAAGCTTTTCTCTTAACTCCTCCATGAGGAAGTTCACTGCAGCTTCTTCAACAAGCGGAGCCCCGCCGTGGGGTATATCTTCTACCTGCGCGGTGTTCACTGTTCTCCATGCAGCCTGGGGTGCCAGTGGGCTGCTGTCCAAGGCCCCATCCCCGGTCCTGTCTCACCTTCCTGCTGGCCTGAGCTGGGGCAGGGTGTGGCGGAGCGTCCTGTGCTTTGCTCTGTCGTGCTCCCACCCACCAGTTGAGTAAAGCTTATCTTCGCTACCCACACGTTGCTGAAAGCCCCACATGTCTGTCATCTAATGCACTGCACAGTCCCCAGCCCCAGCCTAGGGCTCTGTTTGGCTGTGGTAGTGTTACTGGTTTTGGCAATGGTGATGGGTTATTTTCTTTTCAAGACACCAGTTAACAGGAATATATTTCCATCATTGAGAAGTCAACTGCAACAGAACAGTACCCCTTAATAATACTCCCAACTTAAGGGTGTTTTAGAAGTCAGCTCGTCAGAACTGGGGAATATTCGGATCCCTTCCTGAGTAGAAAGCTAGAGGTCTGCTGGATTGTGACAGAACCCCTACATTTAAGTATCACTTGGGGGAGATATAGCTGTTCACAACCAGAGAAGGGGATAAAGGTCTGTGATCGGGGATTGCTGGAACTTTCCACTGCAAAATAGGAGTGCTGCACCTTGTGGAATTTCGATCCAGGTTGTAGGATAGATTGTACGGAAGATGAGGGGAGACTGGGGATGGTCAAACCTGGGAGCAGGTGGGGAACAGAAAGAACCAGGTAAGCAAACCATAGGAATTCTTTTCTCCTACCAGTTCATTTCCTTTCCGTGTCTCTTTTTAGACTGGATTATTCAGGGATTGCCCTACTGATTATGGGGAGCTTTGTCCCCTGGCTCTACTACTCCTTCTACTGCTCCCCGCAGCCACGGCTCATCTACCTCTCCATCGTCTGTGTCCTGGGCATCTCTGCCATCATTGTGGCACAGTGGGACCGGTTTGCCACTCCTAAGCACCGGCAGACAAGAGCAGGTGGGTAGGAAGACACAGTGTAGACCTCACAGGTAATTTGGACCCTGAGCCTAATAGGCTCAACCCTGGGCCTGCAGTTCAGGATCTGCAATTTCAGGACACCATCCGAACCCTGATTTGTGTTTGGAACTTTCAAAACAGCACAAAATCTCTCCCAAGTGTCATACTATTTTGATAGAATGCTAATAGGACAGATAATTATCAAGCTAGTTATTTAGCTTCTAGTATGGAAATGACTACTCTTAAGTTTGGTTTAAGAAAGTTAAAAGAAGTTCAAAGCACAGTCATTTTAGTGACTTGAATGCTTAGCACTCAAAACGAGGGGTTAAAATTAAAATGCCTACAGTTACTCTTCTAAGGGAGTGGAAGGCTTGGCTTCGTGAATAAAATACCTTGAGTATAAACACTAGTCACAACCAGTGTAGTAGCTACAAGCATCAACACCCTTGTGTTGTCTCACCTAGGCTCGTACTTTTAAGCTTTATTACATGGAGCAACAGATCAGTTATCACCAGTGTTCAGTTCCTTTAGCCTCTTAATACCTTAATATTTCAACCTTCAGCTAAAAGAATATACATCAAGCACCCACCATGAGCCAGGCATTGTGCTGTAACGAAAGCACCTTCAAAAAAGAGAAGGTGGTCTCTGCCCACCAGTTCCATATAGTATAGCAGCGTTGAGACAAGTCCCATTCTCCTTTCCTCTTACCTTATTTCTGTGTCCCTCTGACAGCTTCTAATCTGGGTGAATCTATCTATTCCAGGGGTCAGAGTCCTGATTACTTACCTCTTTTATGATCTTAGCGGGAATCGTGTCCTAATCCTCGGTGACTTGCAAGCCTCCTGAAGCTTTGCCATTCAGGTTTTATACGCAAGTCAGCCATTGAGAGATTTTGTTTTGTTTTGTTTATTGAAGTATATAGTTGGTATACAATATTATATTGGTTTCAAGTGTACCACATGCGATTGGACAGTTATCTACATTATTAAATACTCAGGAATTGCAGTTACTATCTGTCAACATAAAAAGCTTTACAGTATTCTGTATGCTGTATTTTCACATCAGGGTTTGGGCATATCATTTTTGTACAGGCTTCTCAACAGATAATTTAAAATGTGAGATGTTTGTCATTGATGTTCCTTAAAAGGTCACAGCTGTGTAAGCACATACACAGCCTTCTTCCTAGATGTTGAAGAAGTATCTGCAACTGTTAACCATCTTGTGGCTGAATTTCCTAAACATAAACTGTTCACCAGAAAATAGCTAATTACCATGAACGTTTGAATTGCAGTGTAAGACAGCATTGCCCTCTATGGCAGCTGTCTCCTTGCTTGACAATTTTACATCTGCTTTGTTCAGGAGTGTTCCTGGGACTTGGCCTGAGTGGTGTTGTGCCCACCATGCACTTTACGATCGCTGAGGGCTTTGTCAAGGCCACCACAGTGGGCCAGATGGGCTGGTTCTTCCTCATGGCTGTGATGTACATCACTGGGGCTGGCCTTTATGCTGCTCGAATTCCTGAGCGCTTCTTTCCTGGAAAGTTTGACATATGGGTAAGAAAAGTCTCTTTGAACAGGGCCTGTGATGGTAAGTGACCAGCCCAAAGTTACAGATCTGAGTAAAAGGATGTAAGAGACATAGAGATTGGGTGTGGTGCTCGGGGTACACACACACAGGGTAAAACAGGAATGGGGGACAACCAATACAAACACTTTGGTGTATCTTTGAGAGGACTTTTTTTTAATTTTATACAACAAATATATCACTTTCATAACATAAACATTTTCAAGCAATAACTGGAAGGGGCAAATGCTTTCCCCTCCTTATTTCAGATCTTTCCTTGCTATCATCCTAACTCTCTTCTCTTTATTCCCACAGTTCCAGTCTCATCAGATTTTCCATGTCCTGGTGGTGGCAGCAGCCTTTGTCCACTTCTACGGGGTCTCCAACCTTCAGGAATTCCGTTACGGCCTGGAAGGTGGCTGTACTGATGACTCCCTTCTCTGAGCCTTCCCACCTGAGGAGTGGAGGAGGAACTTCCTAAGTGCTTTTAAAAATCACTTTGTTGACGTGAGAGGAAGAGTCCGAGCTGTCTGTTTCTAGGAGAAGCCTCTTAGAAAACCCAGTACCAACCAAGCTTCAGCCCACTTCACACCCACGGGGCAATAAAATTTCCATTTCCCTAGCTAAGGGGTGGGGCCAGACTTAGTCATGCCCCTCGGCAGTCCCCCTCCTCAGCAAGGCAACTACCGTCCTTCGCAGAGACAGGACTTTGAAGCTCATGTTGAGATTTTTACCCCTCCAACCATTTTGGCAAAAAATGATAGACTGGGACTCTTCAGAAATTCTGTTTCTAGAAGGAAATGTCCCTCCCTTACCCCTGTCCATACTTTGTAACCTGACTTATAACAGGCCATCCATTTTTGTAGTACACTTTTCAAAAACAAGTATAACCTGGTCCCATCTTTTAGGGCCCGGACCTGCTCACACAGCAGAAAGAACAAAACCACCAAGTTGGACACAGCCCGGCTAATCATGAGAGTGTGTCCAGGCTTCAGATAACTTGAGTTTTAATTTTTTTTTTCTTGGCAGAGTAATGTAAAATTAAAATGGGGAAAGATATTTAATATTTAATACTAAGCTTTAAAAAGAAACCTACTATCATTGCTATGTATCTTGATGCAAAGATTATGGTGATAATAAAAGAAAGTGCAGAAGGCACTTGGCAGTCAGAGATGCAGTGTGTCTGGTCTCACCTCTTTGCACGTAACTCCAAAGGATGAAAGTGAGTTAAATAACTCCAGATTCTGCTGAGACACAAACCTGAATCATTGGCATTGACACGCTGGCATTTGCAGGCCGGTGGGTGAGCCCGAGTGAACTCTTGGCATCTGTTCCTCAGAACTTTATTTTTCTCTACTTACTGCACAGACATTTTACTAGATAAATTAGTATGCTATTGTATTCAGTAATTACAAGATTCTCAAAGGTGTTGGGATATAGCCCTTGTGAATATTGAAGGTCTATTAGTCACTACTTTAGAGTTTAGTTCTTCTAAAACTGCCTTGCTAGGATTGTCTCATCAAGAGGTTGTTCCACACCTTTCTGTGCCTTTTGAATTGTTCTCAACCTGATCTGAGTTCTGTTCCCTGGATAGCGCAAGGCCCACCGTAGTCACTTCCAAGCCGATGTTGGCAGTTAGATGGGAATCTTGAGTTACAAAGTTGGGTTCACTTCAAGACCCACATTTGTACAACTGGGAGAACAAGGCCAACAAACAGGAAAAGTTTCTCAATCTCAAGTGGTCAACAGGGAAATGTAAATTAAAACCAAAGCGATAAACCACTTCATTCCTACCAGACTGGCACAAAGTAAAATCCTAATGCAGGATGTGAATGTGGAGCAGAACAGGCTGATAGGACGGCATCGCTAGGACCACCGTGTGCACACCTGGTGGAGTCTGTACACCTTAGAATCTTAAAACATGCCGTGAGACAACACATTATGAGATGAGATTCATCTGATATTTAAGGTTACTTCATTTTTTAAAATGCCCTTTCTGACCCACTAAATTGCCTCATAATTCCCTAATAGGTCGCATCACACTGAAAAACACTACCCTTAGCTTGTACCAAGAGATTCCTCGCAGCTGTATGTAATACAACCTGCTACAAAGGAGCCTCGTGTTTATCCAATATTTAGTGAAGACCTAATACCCATTCTCCTTAAAGTTTTCCAAAGGAGCCTTGTAGCCAAAACTTGAATGGAAAAATGCATCTGGGCTCATTCATATAATGAAACACTAGCCGTGAAAATTACAGTGCCAAGCAACTGACATAGTTGAATCTGAAATGATATTTGAAGAAAGCCACTTAGAGAAGAACCTATCTGACATGATTACATTTATGAAAAGTTCAGAAATTTGCAAGACTAATGAAAGTTTAACAAATGTTGATTCAGAAAAATGCTTACCTCTAAAGGGATAAGAATGGTGTTTCAAAAGTACAGCTTCTGTTCTTTTTAACTACGTGGTGAGTATCTGAATGTTCCTTATGCCATGATTATTTCTTAATTTTCTTGCATATGTGCAATAAGTACAACTATTTAATACAGTACAATAAAATTTTTTTAATGTAATAAAAACAAATGGAAGTTTGAAAAAATACCAAGGAGCTCCTACAGACCACAAATTTCCCCAGGTGTTGTGTTTGGCCTGCGCAGTGGGAATTGTCACTGGCAGCTCAGGAGCAGCTGGGCTCTTTGAGGCAGGCATGTGTGCCTGTCCCCACCTAGCCTGCTTGCCTCACCAGAGTCACCAGCTTCACCTCTGGAGGCTGCTGAGCTGGCAGCCACTGTAGAACTGGAAGGAAATAAACCACATCTACTCCAACTCCATTTTCTGCGAGAGGAAATACCAAGATCCACGGCAACAGGTGAAATCTAGTATGTGTGTTCTCATGTTACAGAATTGGATAGGACCAGGGAAAGAGGATCTGAGAGAACATTTTTTTGAGCATCTGTTTTGTATTTTTTTTTGGTATCCTTAATCTACAATTGCATGAGCAACATTATGGTTACTAGACTCCCCACATTATCAAGTCCCCCCAAATACCCCATTACAGTCACTGTCCATCAGCATAAGATGCTATAGAATTACTATTTCTCTGTGTGTACAACCCTCCCTGTGCCCCCCCATTATGTCTGCTAATCATAATGCTCCCTTTTCCCCCCTTGTCCCTCCCTTCCCACCCATCCTCCCCAGTCCC